CCTTGATTGAAACACTGTACTAAATCATTGTAATTATTTTCCCTCTTTGCCCTTACAATGAAATCCATATCATTATAAAAAAGTAAAATGCTGTCTACTCTAAACTGAAGGATGGTCAACTTAAACTCTGCCTCATCCAGAAATGGGTTATCTTTATGTAAAAACAGGCAATAAGAAGCATATGAACTTTCATGACGGTATTTTTCTCCTTTTTTCTTAAAAGTTGCACTGTGTCTAAGCAAGAACAGAGAAGTAGCTTTAAGTGACAAGTACAGTGTTTAATTTCCTCCAACAAACTATGCATGTGTTTTATTTTCCCACCTATTTTGTTACATGCTCTTAGGTAAGAAGTAAACAGATAAATGGAGGTGCAATCCAAAGGGAATTGTGGGAGAAGCAATTTTATTTTGTCTGCAGAATTCTGTTAGCTTCATGCTGTTTATTATTTCCTTGGTGTTGTTTATTACTTGCATTCTCCTGGCTCTTATCTTTTAAGAGTAATCAAGACCTCTTCATACTATCTCTATAAGCTTATTAGAATAATAGATCAACAAAAGGGATTTCTATACATGGGTTTCACAAAGGTAACTTTTCATAATTCTCTAACAACAATAAAAGTATTTTTAAAATTTAATTATGAAATATGTAGCCTAATTTTAGCCTTCTGTAGTGTGAAACTATTGAAACTGACACTTCAATTGCATTTACCCATGGGTTGATGCACTTCAAGAGTCAGGCATGGGCCAGTATCAAAATATGGACATCTTCCCCAGTTCTTCATACCTAATTACTATAAGTAAGAAGTTTCCCCCAGAGAAGGACCACTTTTATTCTGTATTTGACAGGTAGAAATTAGCTGCCTAATGGAATGGAATAGTTCTGCAAATTGAAGGAATTAAGTGAGCTTTTTTAATTTGGGCGCCTTTTAAATTAGATTTTAATTTGAATTCAAATGTGAGGTTGGTGTCACAAGGCAGTTTATTTTGGATGCTTTCCAATAACTTTATAATGCCCACTGCTGATGTATCACGTCTTGTCTTAGAACCAATACTGAAAAATACTCTCACTTTGGTCTACAAACCAAAGAAATTAAATGAGCAGGAAATTTCCATTTGCACAAAAGCTCGGAATTGTTGTTTAGCCACTGTAATGATATCACTCAACTAGCTGCATATGACACCATGGACTAGATATTACAAAAGTTACAAAGTCATCATAGATTAAAAAAAAACTAATAAGCCTGATTCTACCTATTTTTATGTGTCTTCTTTTGGAAGATAATAGTCACAGAGAACGTGAACGTGTACAATATGATAACCTAAAAATAAACTGCACTAGCAACGTTATTCTAAATTCCCTTTGCTTTTGAGACAGATCCTTGACTTCCACATGATGCTGGAAAAGCTCGTGACTCTACTGAGATATCATCTCTTTAAAATGAGATGTTGAAGCATAACTGGTATTATTATTTTAATTTCAAAATATTGGAAAAGAAACCATCAATTTTTTAAGAATTATGGTATTCCCTCTGATATACTCTATTTTTCTTTTTTTTTTCTGATTATTTTCCCATTTATGTCTCCTGATGAAAAATTACTGAATTTATTTCAGTACTTTTTAAAAAATATGTAAGGTTTGGGCAAAAAAACACTTAAGAGAAAGAAAAGAACTTGAATGTTACCTAAAAAGTTTCCTTATTTCACTTCTTTTGGAGTTTCATTCTCATATCTGCAGGAAGAGCTGACAGGAACAATATTTTAAAGTAGTCAGTTCTGTCATAATCCTCTATTCACTGCTGACTACAGTGGCATGTCATTTGTGCTTTCCTGTCCTATTATGGCCTATTCCAGGGAGCTTTTCTCCCTCATGAATCTCTTCTGACCTCATCAATATATTTGAAGAAACCCTTCTGTGAGATATGTAGTTGAAAGGAGATAGTATTACACTCAGCATGGCAGAGGAAAAAATTCTTCCAGTGACATTTTGTTACACAGACTTTGTGGAGGTGCTCAGCAACATTTCTAACCAGCTTATTGGCAATATTTAGGGAATTAAAAGGTCTGGATTGTTCCTTAACTGCTTAACTTGGTTAGGAAAATATTCACTGCTTGCTGTGTATAAACCAGCAGAAACAGGTAAAGACTGTAAAGCCCTTGCACTTCTGCTAATGTATTTTCTGATGGTCAGAATCCAGAGAAAAATAATCACCTTGGCACTATTAAAAGCATCTGAAGAATACTGCCTTTGTCTTACAAGTTTCTAAGTCATGTCATATACCTGGCTATTTCAAAAAATTCAGAGTCAAAAATATCCTTATGCTTGGTTGTTTTGTTTTTGTAAGCACTATAGACCAAAGAAATTAAATGAGCAGGGCATTTCCATTTACACAAAAACTCAAATTAACATTTAATCTCTGTAATGATATCAGATACTCAAGGAAATTATTGGAATATGTAGCTAACACTATCTGTGCATTGATGCTTATAACTATATATTTTTTGACCCAGAGTTCAGAATGGGAAAAGTCAGAAGATTTTGCAGACTTCTCCAAGATTTTAACCATTAAATAAGGCACTTCCTGGACAGTAATAATTTCAATAAATTTCTTTTGTGAAGTAGTCTGCTAAATAAGCACAAAATGTCGAAATATATCCCCCTATGTTACTCTAGCAATGTAGGAGTCTCTTGAGAGAAGAAAGTGAAAAATATAAAAGGAAAAGAAAACAGAATAAAAAATTAGATCTTGTGCAATATTTTCAGACACACAATCTAATATGAATTTGTGCCAAGACTGATAGACTGCTTGTCCTTGAGACAGGGAAAAAAGAATTCTTTGGTTTTCCAAACATCACAAAGCAAACAGAAAGGCTTCTTCAGAATCCCTAATGAGAAAAAATTAACCAGCTAAAGTGCTGGAAGAAAATGAACTATCCAACAGTTGTTTTGCAAAAAGCAAATAAATGTTTAACGGGGTAGTTTCTGATGGTAGAGAAAGAGTAAGCACATCCTCTGCTAAAGAAAAAGTACAGCTTCATGAGTTAAGCAAGCAGAACTAGAGGAGGAGGAGGGTGTGAAAAAATCTTTGTCTGAAGTAATAAGGCTAAAACACTTGGGGAAAGAAAAGAAAGGAAATAACATGCCCTAAGGATATTTGCACTTAGTGAAAAAAAGCAATCACGAAATGAGAAAACGAGGACAGGCAATGGGATATGAGATCTTATGGTTAGTGATTTAAGGTTCACTGACACCAGGGAATAGATATGGGAGGGACATTGCCAGGAGAGAGGATGGTTTGTTTAAAACACAACACACGAGACAGAAAATACCCTAACTTCTCCAAACAGCTGAGAAAACTCTTAATAACTTATTGGCAGGTCTGTAATTCATTGTGGAACATCAAATGCAATATACAATCCTCTGTGCTAACTCGGGATGGCCTCAAACAGAGTAAAACAAGTGAATCATCTGTCATCCATCCCAGTCATCACTTAGTCCTTCAACTTTCCTCCAGACTGAGAAAAATCCAACAGTTCTTAGGAAAGCTAGCTAAGAACAGTGATTTTGCCAGAGGGGAAATGAGAGATTGACTTTGGAGTGATAATGTGTAAAGGGATTTAACCCATTAATCTACTTAACTTACCTAGCACTTTTAAAAAATTTATTTTCAAGGAATTCAATTTATGCAACTTTACATTATAAAGGAGTTTATAATTTATTTAATGTTAACTTATGTACAAAGGTGATGTTTAAAAGATTTCTCTGTTTTCCAAAAGCTAAGGTCAAATGACAATTTTTCAATGTGGACTTAGCATTAAAGCTATTTCAATAGAGCCCTTGGAGTAATCGAAAGGAAAGACAGCCTTGTTGCTCCAGACCTTCTGCTCCTTCTGCTGGGAAAGCACAGCACAACTTGTCACAGAAATTAAGACATCAAAGTAGTCCAGAGCTACTGAAATTCTTGTAAAAAATGAAGTGGTTTGGATGTGATATCTCTTGTATAATTTTTTTTCTTAGAAGGACATTGCCAACAAACTGCCATAGCAAGACAGAATTGTAAAGTCTGAAATAAAGAAATCTTTCCTGTGCTGTGCTGCAGATTTTTATGTTTACATAGGGATGGGAGAAACATGGAAAGTACCTAAATACACTATATATCCTGTATATGTGTTGTAGAGTCCTTCAGGTATATTCAAGCTCTGCCAAAAGCAGTGGCATCCTCTACGTCACAAATTGTGATGTCTCACCCTTTTGGGGCAGGGAACACCCAAGATTTGTGGATGCACATGGTTGAAAGGAATGACAAAAGCTAGAGGCTTCCCTTCCTCCAAAACATGTTACAAACTATTATTAAAAAATTACATTCTTGACACAGAAATTGGTCAGTCCCTGACCTCCTGGTATAAGCATACAGCAGTGGATTTTGGATAATGTGGTAGGGTAAATAGGAATAGAGAGAGAGATTAATTCAAGAGAGGGAGGA